TTTCTAAAACAAAAGTGCAATGCCAAAATAAGGTAAACCAGTTGAATAGTATTTAAAAATTTGAAAATTTTAGTCGAGAAAAGTAAGTACACGCGAAGGATTTTAGAAAAATGTGTTGAAATATTACTATTTTTAAAAAGTGCCATTTTGGCATTAAGTGCCAAATTGAAAAATTAATTGCCATTTGATGTATAATAGGGCCAAAAATGGCACAGCCAAGTTGGCAGCCGGGACTGCCCTTAAGGCAGTGACCAGTTGATCACTTGAGATGGGAGTACGTTGGTCTAGGGCGCAATGACGTTTCAAAAAATAGCTAAGTAAAGTGTTAGTTATTCGTACTGGTCATTTTAAATTCAATGTAAAATGTTTAGGAGAATACATAATATGATATTTTTAATTTCTTCCTTTTGACCACTTTTCTTTAGAATTGTTTATTTTTCAAAATGAAAGCGAAGCTTCTCCCATGCCTACAGGTAAATACATATATCGTCGTTTAAAGTACAAAACCGCGTATCAACAAAATGCAAAACCGCGTATATGGGGCTGCATACATTATTTTCTAGAGTGTAAAAACACTCGTATTTCAAAATGCTTCACTTTTTTATAAAGCAATCGCATTTCTGGCTAGTATATTTCAGGACGAATAGATAGGGATTGGGACCAGAGCTCGTGTGAGCAAATCCAATTTTTGGCAGCAAATGTCAGTTACGAGGTTTTGCAGAATGACGATAAGCGGTTTTGTACTTTAAACGACGATATGTATTACCACGGATCAAAAGATGATTGTACTTAAAATTTAGTTATTGTGCCTGATGTACCTTTAAGTCATGTCATCAAACGTCGGAAAAAGGTACAATTGTACCTACTTTTTCATCCCTGATATGTAGATACTTGTAGAAAGCCTTACTTTGCCCTTAATTAACTAATTCCTATAGCAACATAACCTAACGCTTTTTATGTAAATATTTATTTCGCAATTACTGATTACTTATAAACACGCGCCAGTAGAATACCGCATGTTGTTGAGAGTTGACTCTTAACTCTATATTCCTGTTTTGAGAAATTTTAATTAATAAAGTATAAATAAGGAAATTAACAGCGAAACCTGAATTATATTTATTTCACATGCATTTATGCCTGCCCCACCCCAACACTTACGTTACGAGAACATCTAAATCAAATTTATTTTTTCTTAATCGTTTCAGACGACAGACAGCATTTGTTTTCTTCTCAGATAATACTTACATGCGGTTAAGAACAACAGACTGATCACAGTGCATCAACCTAAAATATATTCATCATACAAGTAGGCGTAAAGTTGCCTACGATTGCTAGTCGCAACAGTATCAGGGCAGCAAAACACAAATAGAAGAGATAAGCAGCAAATAGCATCGAATACATATTAATCAATAAAAAAAAAAAAACATCAGCAACAATATGCCTTTTAAAGACCTATTCAATAGCTGTCAACCGATACAGTTGTATATTGTGTTGACAATGTCCGTCTCTTATTTCATCGTACAACTGGTGCTGAGCCACATAACACATGCTCTAACCCTGTTGATGGCATCCTATCATATGTTATGCAACATTTTCGCGCTCACTGGCTGCATAGTAACAATTAAGGTAAGGCTGAAGATAGATTTTTCTTATCTGTAAAAAAAAGTTACGTCCGTAGTTTATCATAAATCATAAAGGATAGCACATGGAATGTGTCAAACTATTATAAAGAAATAAAACATTTATGTGTTTATTTACATACTTAATTATAAAATAGATATAAATGTGTGTGCCTAAATGACCGATAGCATACTAGCGTAATTTATAATAGCAGCCAAAACAAAACTTGTATATAATATAAGTATGTATGTAAATTTAGAATAAAGTATGCACTGATTGATTAATGACTGCTTATACACTTATTTGCAGCTGTTAGAAAATTTTACCTTAATTTATTACATGAAGAAAAAAGTATTTTTATCAGGCCTGTTCTGAAAATTATATGATTAGGAATGGGTTGCTAAATTGTTTTAAATATTTTTAATGAATGAAGTCAATATTTGAAATGGAAACTGCTAAAAACAAAAGTGTTTGTCTTTTTGTTAAAAAAATCTCCAAAAAAAAAAGTTTTGTAATCGAACCTCCATAAGTATTGAAATGGTAGAATTTGCAAAACCTGCCTGTATTTATTCGCTAGTTTCTTTCGAAAGGCATTCTTATGATAGTAGGAAAAGTTTTTTTTTTTGAATCCCTGATAACAATTCGTAAAACTTTTGTGATAACGGTATCTTTTTAGCATTTCTATTTTAAACTTATAACAAAGTTATAATTTTTCCGCTTATAGCAGCCAACTAAGTATTCACATTAGGGTGGTCCAAAAATGCATGTGAAAAAGTAAAGACCGAAATTGAATGCTCCCACCCCTAGGACTGTTCTATACCGAAAAAAACTATGCCCCTGTTTTTTTTATTTTGAAATAAAAAAAATTTTAGAGGCCGCTCAAAGTGCTCAAATTTTTCATGTATTTTATATACGTAAAAATTCGTGGAAATGGTATGGAATTCTTGAAAATCAATACTTTTAGATCAGAAAACTCTGTTTCTCTTGGGGAGACTTCAAATTAAAATACCCAATTGCTTACTTTACATTTTTATAACAATAGCGATTTTTTATGGGTCCCCAATTGCTTCTTTTGGAGGTTTTAGGGATCCTATAAAAAATTGTTAACAATTAAAAATGTTCAAGTAAACAATTGGAT